CACACACACAGGCAGACAGACACATGCCCGCAGGCGAGCTTGCGCGCGCGCACGCACGCACGCACACACACACACACACACACACGCACACACACACACACACACACACAGGCAGCATCCCGGCCCCCTCAAGACGCATTCCAAAATGCACACCCTCCCACCCCCTGGCCTCCCCACCTGTCCAGCAGGCTCATGAGCTCCTCATCATCCAGGTTGGCCTTCAAAAACCGCAGGGCCTGACACAGTGTCGCGATTAGATCGGATAGTTGTTGCTGCACTTGCCCGCTGGACGGGTCTGGAAGGCGCGACGACGCCCGGCCAGAGAGATGGCATGCAGGCCAACACCAAACAGTCCCCGCAGCGCCTGCAGCGGGGACGGGCGCCGCCCCCGGCTCGGGGTGCGCACGCAACCCTTGCAGACGCGTGCACTCATCCAGAACAACACGTGCGACTGTTTCACATGCGGCCTGCGACGGCTGCCGCCGGGGCGGTGAGTCACCAGGCGCAAAAACGAAAACATGACTCACCTCCTGCAGCTCGCCCTTTGATATGAGGCCGTCATTATCGAGGTCTATGACGTGCAGGCGCTCCCCGATGGTCTTCTCGGCGTCGTCGAGCTCCTGCTCTATCCGCATCAGGATGCCGCCCACGCGCTCCTCCAGGGCCTGGCGCGGCGGCGCAATGCGACGATTGGGCGGATGGCAATCGGGGGGTTTGTTTTGATCAGGGGTTCGATAGTCAGGATTGGTTCAAGGGGCTGGGTGGGTGTCAACCTATCAGCTGGTTCAAAAACAGCCAAGGATTCAGGTGGGGGATGTGAGGAAATTGTATCGAGGCAGGTTGTGTCACTCAGGCGATCGGTTGTGTTGATGAGAACGATACGGGGGAGGGCGCGCGCGGGACGCGTGCTCGTGGCGCGGCCATTCGGCTGCCCTGTGGGCGCGGTCCTAGGCAGGCGCGCGCACCAGCGGCGCCCGCAGCTCCGGGATGGTCTCCGGCGCCGGCTCGTCCTCCGCGCGCACTGACTGCAGGCTGCCGCCCGTGAACACCATGTGGGCGGCCACCTGGGGGCCCATGGTGTCCTGGGGGTCACATGGGGGG